GCCTTTACTCTCTTTCCTTTGCTCCGAGGTGAAAGGAAAATTGTTCAGTGACAGTCATATAAATCGAGGATTCTTCACCTAGAGTTATGTTTCTCTACGGTGCGGCTCACCAAAGCAAATATGCTCCTTACAATCTTAACCGTTCGTTAGGCTGACTTTATCTCTAAACCGATTCTTTTGTCCCGCTTGAGTTATTTTGAATTTTATATTAAAATTTTTCTATTGGTAGTGGTAGACAAACCATCCGTATTCAATAAATTGAATGTGCGCATTAATCGACACGTACACACTTACACATTAGTGTGGATTTAACAATTGATTTACACAATAATCAAATACTCACAAGAGTTAAAAAGCTACTATATCTACTACTACTTTTTGTGATCAAGGGACCAATATCATTCATGTCTCCTAAGCTATCCACTTACTTGTTGTGATTAAGAAAATATAATTGTTTTCTATGCTTTTTTTATCAGTTCTATGGGTTGATGATCCTCACTGGAATCCATTTTTAATTATTGACAAAAGATAATTTCTATTTTTATTTGAAGACCAACAACTTCAATTTAAAAGTCTCCCATATGCTACATTGGTGAATAGAGGTTAGGTGGTTTCAATGAACAAAGCTCTGAATTGCCTAGTTCTTAATAATCAAAAGATGTTTTATTTATTTGTGATCAAAGATTCAAGAGAGAGAATATGGGCGTAGCTTCTACTTTAATATTATAGTACATTGTTTACGCTTGAGATTCATATCACATATACAATATTATTCATTTTAGTGTTGACATTTGGAATTGGTATAACTAGCCGGAGGAGGAGGAGGATATGTACAAGTGCCCTCTAAAGTTTAACCATAATTAATCATTCCACATATTGGTAAGCTAGCTGGATAGCTAAAGAGAGATGCATTTCGAACCGAAACAAACTATAAATTTCACTATTGTTAGAGCAAAAAAAAGAAGTTACTAGACATTGAAATGTGGTTTAATAAATTTTGGTTTAATCCAACCGGTTTATTTCGAATATGTTTATAGTGTCTACAGTGTATTTGTTCTTTAATTTTGAATATTATAATCTTGTTATAAAATGAAGAGAGAATAA